TCTTCCTAGAAGAGTGGTCAGTTGAGCTGGTCCCTCCTCCCCGCCCTGACTGTCCAGTGGCCAAAACCCATCAGAGTCCAGCAGGTGCGGCAGTGAGCAGGTGTCATGCCATGTGCTGGCAGGACCAAAGCTGTGACACACAAGCGGCTGTTCTCCTGGCTACTGTCCTCCTCTGCTGCACCCTCAGTTTCCACATCTACCTCAGGGAGATCAAGCCTTGTGAATCTCAACAGCAGCTATGACTTCAAGGTAGAATGGAAGTAAAATGTCTAGGGTAGGGCCTGTGGCAGAACACAGCTGTGAGTTGTGTTCTGAACTGAAAGGATTCTTGGAAAGTCCCATCCTAGAGATCAGAACCCAGAGGCCTATGGGTTGGACTCTGCCCACAGAGGCACACTGTCACTAGGTCCAACTGTCCCACCAAAGCTGCATAACAAACAGCTCCAAACAACTGTGTATAGCCTGCTGGGATCTAACTGAAACCGTCCTCACCACATCCAAGAGAATATATGCAGGCCAGACACAAGAAAACCATTTATTGGTGTGTTTAATTTGCCCTGGACACTTATAGGTATCTAGAACCGTCAATCACAGCAGAGGTTTGGGCTGTAGGGCTATTTGTTACATTTTCATTCTAAGTCACCCTTTGCCTTACAGCTGAAGCTGGGAATAGAGGTCTGATTAGTAAAGCTGTACCTGCAGACACCACAAATGTGCAGGAAGCCTTGCTGGATTTGAAACGTGGAGTTTGAGAGGATGAGCACAGAAGTCAGGTAGTTCATGCTTGTTTGAGTGAGTTCCCAACAGCGTCTGCTCCAGGACTTTATGTCTCACTTCTGGGGAACTCAACACTCATAGCATCCTGGCACGGAGTAGGTAACGGGGAAAGGCCAGGATCAGGCTGGTGTGCAGTTCCCCAGACAAATCCAAGGCCTGGGGCTAGAGATCCAGGTGTCTAGTGTCAGAATGAGCCCTTCTAAGTCCACCTGAGCCCATGTTAACACTCTATCATCAGACTTCACCATCTCAGTAACAGATGCTGGTACCTTTGCTGAAGGCTGCATGGAGTTGATTTCCATCCAGGAAAAGTTGCTTGCGTGCCCTGAGGACCCCACTGAGGATGGCTCTGACTTCAAAAACACCAATTGTCAAAATGCCAAGGAGGAAGTACCAAGACCCCCTGTATACTGCTGGGTGTCGGCTCCACCCAGGGCCCTGATACAGTGAAGGATGGGGCCTGGCTTGAACCCAGGAGCTCCAGAGAGGTATTGGGGCAAAACAGTGGAAATGACAGCTGCTCTCAACACATCTCAGGCCCTGCACACACCTGTCACATCGCAGAGGCTGTGTTGGACTCCAGTGCTTGGGCTAAATAGAGCCCCTTTCTAGAATCCTTTCAGACTGTGAACAGCTCAGTAGAAGGTCCCACCCTGCTGTCACCAGTCCCTTCCAAAGCAGTGTACCTCCCAAGGGGTATCAAACACCAAAGTTGCTGCTGGACTGGAGAGAGCATGAACGAACACACACACACACACACACACACACACACACACACACACACACACAC